GCTCTTCCAACTTACAGCCTCGCCTCTCAAAGGCCAACATGCTTTGGGGTACGATTAGCCACCCACATACATTCAGCCCCGGTCCCTCACTCATTCCTGCTAGAGTATGGCACCTTCTCTAAAACCGTGCTGGGCCGTGGTCCCCAGTAGGGAGCTACTTTGTCAAGTCAGCCTTGTTGGGAGGCCAGGGGGCCTCATTTGTCTTCCTGGCGATACGAGAGTTGCCCCCCTAAGCCATTTGTTAAAAATCCCAAGCCATGAGCCAACATCTTTTTTTCCAATTACAGCTCATATGGCCTTTCCTTTTGGGAAAACAAACCCTAACAATTGCAACCTTCCCTTGGCTGGGAGCCAGGCATCCAAGGACGAGGGCCAGGAAGCGAACGGATACACCTGGCGTGGACAAGGCCGGCAGTGGGACATGCAGGATGCGAGTCTTGGGTAGGCCACCAGCCCCCTGGGACACCGGACGGGCCCCATCCGGGAGGGCCGGCTCACGGGAAGGACATGCGAAGACCCTCCGGATCATGTGACTGGGAACATGCCTGTGACATTAATTAATGCCAGGCAACCATGGAACTGCCGCTCGTGGGAACTCTAAAAATAGCTCTATGGCAACGGCTTCCCTCCTGGCTGCACAGACAGCATGGGGCTCGTGAGCCTGCTCCACGCAGGCTCCAGGGCGGTCTCTCCGCCTGCCTTTCCATCTTTGTGCAGCTTCTTCTTGCCCAGAGGGCCACACTCCCCCTGACCACATGCCCCCTCGTCTCCCCTCCAACCCACAAACATGCTTCTAAGCAAGGAAACCCCCTTTTGCTGTCTCCCCTTTCCCTCTTCCTGGCTCACACAGTGGCGCGCCCTGTCATTTGTCCTTAGCATGTCCCCATGCGTGTCCTTGCCTCACACACACACACGCTCTGTGGCCGGGTTTCCGATCCCCGTCCCCTCTATTTTAAACTTTGTTGATTTCTACCCAGGACGCAGCCTCATTCCAACCGATTAGTGGGGGCAAGCTGGGTCTGATTGTTTCTGATGACCGGGCTTTGGGGCCACTAGGGAACCAGGCTCCCCCAACGCCCTAGGCTGGACAACTATTCCATCTGGTCCAGAGACCCTGGGCCTGCTTCCTCTAGGAGGACTGTCAGCAGCGTGGCAGCCTGAGAGCAAAATCAATAGGCCAGCTGAAGGGAGACTAACCCCTCCTCCAGAACTCCGGTGGGGGGGTTGGGGGGGCTGGACTGGAAGGTGGAGAGGGGACCAGCATGCCCTTGGTGACAGGTGCTCACGGGGGGCCTTTCTGAGAGAGGGGGTGGTGTGTGTGAGAGACACTGCGTGTGTTTGGGGAAGCATCCCTGTTTGCCGGATAGAACCATTCGGCAGGCAGCAGCCAGGGCTCTGTGATAAGATCCTGCCATCCGGCCTGGCTTCCCAGACCGCCAGATGGACAAAGAAAGCACAAAGTCCTCTCTCACCTTTCAGGGGTCAGTCCACAGGCAGGTGGGGGCCGCCGCTCACTCCGGAAAGCCGGCGGTGGCTCCGTGCTGGTCCCATCTCTGCCCCTGCTTCTCTTTCTGCCTTCTCTAGAGAAAACCGAGTGCTGGAAATTTAAAGAGAGGGGGGAAAAAAAAGAAGAAGAAAAGAAATTGTGTGTGGAGGGGCACTGGGGGGCAGCAAGGGGCACGGGGGGTGGGTGTTGAGCCCGTTCTGGGTGGGGATGGGTAATGGCCGTGGCCGGTGATACGGCTTGCCTGAGAGAGCGCCTTTCTCTGTAGCTCTGCGTGTGGGCGTCCACAGCTACACGGCTGGGTTTCAAACCATTACACTGAACATTTGCAAACAGATAAAAAAACAAAACCATCCGGTACAAATGGAAACTTCTGTTTTCTTGTCTCATTCTGCCCTCTCCCCACTCCCACCCCCCTCTGGGGGCTCTGCGGATGAGGGATAAGGTGAGCATGATTCTTTCAGGGAGCCCGCCCCCACCCCACTCCGCCTGCCCCAACTTTTGCAGCCTGGCAGCCAGGCCAGTGGATAGACACATGGGCCAGGTCACCAAGGGTCACTCGGCATGAATGGCCAGACCTTTGAGCACAGGTCTCTCTTCTCCTAGGGTTTGCTCAGAACCTGGGAGGAATCCCTAGGGTTCCCTGGAACTGAGGCAGGGGGGTGGTTATCCATCTTTCGAGTCCATATCCATTTGACTCCATCTTGACCCGGTGCTCCCTGAGCACTGGTCAGTAGTGGCTGCAGATGGATGGGCAGGTACAACTTCCTACCCGGGTGACGTTCTCCCCCACAGAACGTTCTGTGAGCAGGGGCACGAGCCACTCATGAAAATCTCAAGGGATGATTCTGGGCCAAGTTTCCTTGGGAAACAATGGCCTCCTGCCTCACTTTGGGATCATCGCAGAGTACGTCCACAGGGAGAGTCCCCGAAACATCCTATTTCATGTTGTCTAACCCAGCATTTCCAAAATGTAGAAGAGGATCGCATCCCCTCAACAACAGGTGCACGCAATGGTGACTTGACCCTGAACAACCCTTTTGCCCAGCGAGCCAAGATGAAGATGCAGAAAGATGGCTATGGGAAATGGAGCAGATCGAAGTTCAGCATCTGAAGACAGACGTGGCTTGGTTTTAAGGTTGTGGCCATAACTGGTTATTACTGAACTTGACTGTGGTTCTGCTCAAAATGAGGAACAGCAGGCATGTGGGCGATTTCCCTGGGCTGTGGACGGCTGTCCGTATGTCTTCTCTCTCTCCCCAGAGGTCTGTTGTCTTATCTTTCTGGACCATCCCCTCCTCCCACCTCCCTTCTTGTGTTTTTGGAGACGAGGGTGAAGGTGGGCATTTCTTCAAGGTCATTGGAGCGGACGGAGGATAGGTTGGGACATCGAGAGTTAACCCACACGCTTGGAGAAGGGCCAGGTATTTTGAGAACAGTTTCTTTTTGCACCCCGCTCACTTTGCTGCATCATCACTGCGTTTGACTTCTCCATGCAAGGATGGAGCCACCTGGGGCCAGGGAAGCGCACCGGGCTGCAGGATCATTGGAGATGTCTTGTCCAGGTCTGCAGGCTCACTGGGCTCCCCCTGCCCCACCCCCCACCCACAGACTGGTGCTGGACACTAGGAAGGTCACTGCTTGATGTCCCATCGTGTCTTCAAAGCTTCAGCATGAAGCTGCATCCACAGCAAGAAATGGACGTTCCAAGGGGAGGCATTTGTGTCCGGTGTGGTGATGACCAAGTGGCAGCACCAGCTGGATCGCCAACAGCCTCGAGGCTTCTGTGGACCTTCCTCAGGAGCCGGGGTGGTGCCCTGGCCAAGCGCTCAGCGGCTAATTGGATGGCTGGTCCCGGGAGTAAGACATGGCAGTCTGCTATCAAGATGAGAGCTTTAGAAATCCCCAAGTGCCCTTCTGCCCTGTCCTGGAGGGTCACGGTGAATTAGAATTGACTCAAAGGCAGTGGATTTAGGCGTGGACCATCCTTGTGGCTCCCCCGGGATGTGCGGGCTCACTCATGGAGGGCTCCAGGCTGCGAGGTTTCAGAAGCAGGGGCATTGGGGCGTGGGAGGGGGCTCCTCCTGGCAGCCTTTCAGCGAATGGTTGAGTGCTGAAGCCATTGCACCCCCAGGAAGCCCTGGGCTCCCCATAGTCTGAACCAACTTGATCCGGCTTCTTTGGGGTTGATTCGCGATGAGCTGGACACAAGTCAGCATCTGCCAGAGCCTGTGGACCTCAGATCCACAACTTCCTCATCTGAACATGAATTCATATCAATGCCTCTCAACCAAGAGTGAGCATAATGGTACCTGGAGACATTCGGGTTGACAATCAAGAAGATGCTATAGGCATCTAGTACAGCCCCCAAATACCAAGAGTGTAAACATCGAGAAGCCCTATTCTCAAAAGGGCATCTTCCATCCTCCCTTGGATGGGGGTCTTGAGGGAGAATACTGTGTCAGCCAGGGGGCTGCGAGGTGGGAGTGTGTGTGGACAGAGGGACTTCCACATGATTTCAAAGGCGTCTCACTTCTTGTCGGATGAGGAGATGGGAGCGGCTTGAACGTGGAGGAGAGGCCCACTCCCTGCCACCCTCCTGAGAGAGTGCCCACCTGCCTTAGTGAAAACTCCAAACTGAGCTTTTTAAAAGAAGAGGAAGGGGGCCCTCCCCCTGCTTAAGTACCTCAGGCAGCATGAACGCTGTGCCAGCACGGGGGCGGCCGTGGGGGAGTGCTAAAAGGCTGGAGAGAGCGCCCATGGATAATCATTGGCAATTAGAGCATTTTATAGAATCCATTAAAGAAGCTTGAAACAAAGCTGGAAAGTATTTGTTGATCTTTACTCAGAAGGAAGCCATCCCGTAGTGATGGCAACGCAAATCCGCCCAGTTGGAGTTTGGGATTCTCCCCACACCCCCACCCTCCAAAAAATCTTCAAGCCCTGGGTGTAAGAGAAAGAGAAGGTGAAATTCCACTCCAGACGCACCTTCCGGCAGACTATGTTAAGGACAGAAACCAGACTGTGTCCCACCTTGGCACCCACCCACCCTCTGGCAGCACCCTAAGAGACTCCTTGAAACCCAGGTGCTGGCGATGGCTCTGTGTGGACAGGAGCCCGCTCGGGGAGTGGCATGGGGCTGATCTGCCATGGCTGCAGCTCGGGAGAGGCCCAAGCCGGCAGGGGAGGAGGGGGGTGTGTGAGAGGAAGTGGACGCAGTGCCCAGGGCCTCTCAGAGAGGCTTTCGAGGAAGGGAGGACCCGCCAAGTTTCTGAACCGCTCACCAGTGACGTCAGCTTCCTCTGGAGCGTGAGGAGAAACAAGGCCGGACTTTCTGCCTGGCGTGTCAAGCACCTTCTCCATCCACCTGTCCGCTCGCTCACTCACTCACTCACTCACCCACCGGACAAGGGACGCTCCGCCCTCAGTCAGGGCCTAGGAACACTAGAGTCCACACCACAAATCCCTCAGAGGATAACGATGACACGACCATTGTCATAGCGCACCACCTCCGCGCAACGTGGCGTGCACAACAGGAGAAACTGTGGCGAGAGGAGACAAGAGGATGGAATGTTGCATGATTTCTCTGTCACCCTACATCGGCCCCAAAACAGCCTGTTCCCTAAAAATTAAGAAAACCCAAAATCCAGTCTTTAATTTAATAGCTGTCCCCTTCAGGTGGGCTTGAAAGATGAACACTAAAGGTTCGCACAAATACATAACCAATGCACTTGGCCATTCATCGGTTGGGCATTCCGGTGCCCACGCCATTGTATTTCTGATCCCTTCCTCTGCGTGGGAAAGGTGGACACTGAGTAAAGACGATGTAAGAAGAGTCGATGCATTCGAATGACGGTGCTGCTGAAGGATGTAAACAGGACCCACGCTTTCCGGCAGTGACAACCTCCCCAGCGATCGTGCCTCTCCCAACGAGGACAAGAGGAAGCACCAGAAGCAGCACCGGGTGCGGAGCCCCAACCCTACTTCATGCACGTCAAATGCCCAGGCTGCTATAAAACCACCACGGTCTTCATCCATGCTGAAGGTTTGTGTGTTGACTGCTCTCCTGTCCTCTGTCAGCCTACAGGAGGGCCAGCCAGGCTCGCAGAGGAGGCTCCTGCACACGGAAGCAGCACTGAAAGACCCTGAATCAAGATGGGGGGGACGTCATTCCAGTGAACTCATTTTGGATTAAACCAATAAAGGACCCAAGACTGTCCAGAAGAACCAAGAACTCCGTCTTGGAAGAAATCCATCCAGAATGTTCCTTGGCAGCGAGGATGGTGAGACTTACTTCATCTCTCAGACTTTGAACGTGTTGTCGGAAGAGACCCGTTCCTGGGGAAGGCGCTCATGCTTGGAACAGTGGAGGAGCAGTGACCGGAAGAAGGCCTTCGAGCAGATGCGCGCGCACAGTGAGCGCAACAGTGGACGCCCCCAGACCAGCATCGGGAAGACGGGGCGGTGCCCGTCTATGGTGCCAACCCAGCGACACCTACCGACGACGGCAACTGTGTACTGGACACTGTTGAAGAAGGAAGGGGTGGAATGTGCGAACAAATTACTGCTAAGAAAGGCAAGGAAAATAGAATGATACTTTTCAATTCTGGCCGCAGAACATTGCTCGCCAAAAGAGCAATGGCTGGATCTCTCTCTCTGTTCTCACCGCCATCCAGTCAACTCTGGCTCCTGGTGATCCTGTAAGGCAGACAGAACTGTCCCTGGGGGCTTCGGAGGCTGCCACTTTTTTATGGGAGTAGGAAACCCTGTCTTCATTCCAGGGAGTATCTAGTGAGTTCAGTGGGTAACCCACATGACACCCGGGATCGCTCTTCTCTTGGTCAGGAGGCACGAATAGTTAAGTGTTCAGCAGTGAACCAAAGAGTTGGCTATTCCAGCCCACCCAGGGGCTCCTAGAAGGGAAGACCTGGTGACCTGCCCCACAGTCTAGGACACCCTAGAGGGCAATCTACACAGTCTCACGGGGCTGCTCCCAAATCCGAAGAGACTCCATGACCCCCAACCACCACCATCAGAA